CTTGCACTCAATTTTATTGAATTAAATTAGTCAAAAAAAGAAAGAAAAAGCAGTACCTTTTTCCCTGTTGATTACCTTTGTATATAAATGGTTGAATAAGAAAACCACGAAATATATCTTCGGATGTGTTGCCACGTAAGGATACTAAAAAATTTTACATTTTTTTACTATTAGATAATACATCACTGAACAATTATTGTTTCAGGTTTGCAAATGAAAAGACTTAAAATCTGCAAATACCGATTAGCAGATTTGATAAACTGATCAAATTTTTCAACAGTTTACAAAGATTTGCTTGAAAATTTATGGGGTGGAGGGCTAATTTTTCTTGATATATTTAGAATTCATGACTACTGATGTTCTGCAGATAATTAGATTTTCAAAATCAGAAAAGCTTTTTTTGAAATAGCTGTTTTATAGGATCAAAACTTTACATTGTACAGGTTGATTTTTCCAATAACATCGTCGATTAACTTCGATCGTATAAGGTGGATTTGTCAACTACAATATTGCTATACAGATAACTGTTCAACTCTGTAGCAGTAATTTGATTTTTTCAAACTTGTAATTAGACTAAACATCTATGAAATTGCTTTAACCAGGAGAGAAAAAAAAAATTTTTTTTTGGTTTCTTTACCTGTAAACCTCCTTGATGTTCAGCAGCTTCTAATGGATTCATAGAATTAATTGTCGTACGAAGACATGGTGCAGCATCTGGCCAGGCAAAACCAGATGAAATGAGGAGTGTCAGGAAAATAAGAATTGGCTCTAATGTAACCATTATATTTGTTGTTGGGAAACTATGGCCTCTATAGCAGTGTATTGGTTTATTAAATGTTACTAGGTATTGAAGAAATAAAAAAAAAATTTTTTTTTTTGTCATTTTTGTAGTTGGTATAAGAACGGGAAGCAAAAATTCAGACGACGACAAAACTGACGACAAACAACAAATAAATAGAAAAAATCTCTGCCAGGATTAGAAGAACTGAAAAAAGTTTTTTTTTTTTTTGGATAGTTTACAGAAACTTTTTGTTTTTTCTTAGCTATTTTATCAATGTAACAATTGAGAAGAAAAATATATATCAAATTGTAAAAGCAAAATTTAGTTTTTTTTTTTATTTTCTAAACTTAAAATAACTCGTCAACTAGTTGATATGACTAAAATTTTTCAGCGTTTTAATATAGTTGGAGACTTCAGATAGACATCTAAACAAGTTATATGCTTTTATTTATTAACAGGTTTAGTTTCAATGATTGTTAATTACAGTGAAAAAAAAAAAAGGAATCTTTTTTCAATAACATTTTTAATTTTGACGCTCAAAAAAGTTGTTTGTCAAATCAAATGAATATAATTGAAAATTTTCAAAAAAAATTTAACAGGCAAAAAAAAAAGAGCGACACAAAAAGAGATGGTCAGATACATTTTGATGATTACAAAAAGTAATATTCAAAGTTACTTCTTTATATATCTTCTCATTACTTTATCACTTTTTATAGTTTTCAGAAGATTTGTTTATTGGAGATTTTTGTTCTAGAAACACATATATACTGCTAAAATAGCACCAAAAATATTTTTTAGTATTTGTACAACAAATTACTACTACTGCTAGCAAAATAGATAAGTTTTGAAAATACACTTCAATACTATAGTAGATTCAAGAATTCAAAAAAAAACAACCACCGGACGATAGTGAGCAATTACTTTAAAAACACTCTTTGCTATGTTCCTTAGTTTAATTTTTTTTCTTTCTTTCTTTTTAGAGGGAGAATAAGGGGGAAGGGGACTAAACTCGTTCTATCAAAAAAAAAAAAAAA